TCTCGTGATGAGCTATTCACTGATGGAAAAAAGTATTTGTTGGCGGTCCAACTAGATAGTTGTAGCCAGAGGAGGAGGGCAAACAAACTGCCCAGAAAACTACAGCCAAGGATCCTGGCCACATTCTTCCTCCCCACCCTCACCCCCCACCGCACCCCCGCTAGCCCTTTGACCCAGTTCCAAAAACTTCGTTGGGAGGGACCTGGTAGGTCATCTAGTCCAACCCCCTGCCCAAAGCAAAAGAGACACCATTTCTGACAGGATGGCAGTCCAACCTGTTCTTGAAAAGCCTCCAGTGTTTGAGCACATTTCTCAAGTTGGATACTACAGAAAAGATTCCCCCCCCCAAGCAAAATCCCCGCTTAAGCTTCAGAGGATGAAGGGTGGAATTTCGGTGGGAGATGGGAAGGTACACAAGCTGATACTTGATTACAGGCCCTTAATCCGATGTGTGAAACAACCTGGTTTTTTGGGGGGTTCCCCTATACCTGAAGCCTCAAATAAACCCCATAGCTGGACACAGGCCAAGGATGAGCTGCAGAAAACCGAAGCAAATTTAATCAGGAGTCAGGCTGGGCAAACACTGCCTGGCTCCTTCCTTAAATAAGTTAAATATTTTTAAGGTATTTTTTTTAATCCCACATTTATTTATTATTATTACTCAAGGGGGCAAACATATCTAACGCACCTTCCTCTTCCTATTTTCTCCAGCCTGGGAAACAAGTTGGACTGACAAGAGAGGGAAATGCTTGTTTAGATGGCCAATCTAACTGGATAATTTATTTTTTAATTCCTAACTGCAGCTCCCTCTCTCTCTCTCTCTCCATCTCCCTCCTTCCCTCTTTCTCTCTCTCCATCTCTCTCTTTCTCTCTCTCTCCATTTCTCTCTTTCTCCCTCTCCTTCCCTCCCTCTTTCCCTCCCTCAACCAAAGTGAACCTCTACTTTCCTGAATTGGAAGAGGGGGGAACTATTTTTTTTTTCAAAAAATTAACGGCTCACACATACTCCACACAGAAGGGAAACCAACCTATTTACTTACCCCCCTCCCCACCTTCCTGTAAACACCCTAGGAGAAAAGAAAGCCATCCCCAAAAGACTTGCAAGTAGGTGGCCTTTATTTATTTATTTTATTTTGGCAAACTTGGTTTTTTATTTTTATTGTTAAATTGCACTGGCCTCTTCTGCATCAAGCCAGAAACCACTGGCTCTGGTCTCTAAATCCTTTTTTTTTTTTAAATCTAGGGTCTCATTTCACCCATCCCACAAAACCATGGACGGTTTTCCTCCCCAAAGTTTAGGACTCAAACTACCAAGGGCTGGGCTCCCCCATCAGCCTAAGCAGAGAAAAACCCCAGTTGTAGAACCAACCTCCATGAGAAAACGCCTAAAGGTTCCCACGAACCACAGGTTGTATTAAATGAAGTTACTTTGGTCACCCCAGGTGGGGGAACAAAGCCAAGAAGACAATGAACCCCATGGACGCTACAATTGTTGAAGCAAAGTTCTGATTTGCTGGATGCCTGAATAGCCATTGTTACACCTGCTTTACGGAGGGGACAAATCACACACACACACACACACACACACACACACACACACAAACAGAGATGTACACACCAGGCGTCTTACCTGAGAAGCCAGGACGTGCTGCTGAAAATGGAAGGGTAAGGCAGCTGCAGCAGCTGCTGCCGAAACCCCACTTAATCCCTGGGCAGCTGCTGTGGCCATCACCGTGTTGTCTAGACCAGTAACTCCTGCCGACGCCCCAGAGACCGTGGCCAGCAAAGGTCCCATGCCGGCCATGCCCGAGAAAGCAGCAGCTCCACCCATGGCAAACTGGCTCGGGTGGAGGAGGAAAGGATGACCATTACTCAGGGGGTTGAAGAACGGTTGGCTGGCCAGGCCGTGGGGAAACGTTAGGTTGGACAGGTGGCTCTGGGCCAGGTGCCCGGGATTGTCCGTCTGAACTGTTAAAGGCGCGAAGGGTTCTTTGTTCACCATCCGGCATTCTTCCTGGTTCTTGAGTTCTTCTCCGCTGCCCAAATTCCGGGTGCTGGAAGAGATGGCGGCTGGGCTATGTTGGGAATCGGGAGGCATTTTTGAGGTGCTCTCACGGCTCCTGCTGCTGGCCGAGTCCGGGGGTGGGAAGAGATGAGCCTTGGAAGAAGGGCTGTTCTTCCCTCCTTCTCGGGGTTCGGTCCCATCCCCACCTCCCAAGGACGAGCTGCTGTTGGGGGCGAGGTTGGCCGTGGTGGTAGAGATCTTCCCGACTTCGTTGGCTTCCATGGGGTCCTCTTTGCTCTCCGAGTCACTTTCCCCATCGCTGGGACACAGGTCTGGGAAGAGAAAGAGAGAGAGAGAGATGGTGGAAAAGGAAGAAAAAAACAGAGAGAGAGAGAGAGAGAGCGTGCTTCTCAGTTGCCTTCCCACAAGATGTTCCTCTCTGTTTCCCAGCCACTGAGAACAAAACTTCCCAACTCAGTTGAGTACGCCCCGATGGAGTCCCAATGCTTACAATTCAGTTTTCTTCTGGACTTGGAAAGTCATCCGGGTTTTTTTTCTTTCCCAATTCCAACTCAAGATTCTGATCTAATTTCCACTGAGGTTTGATCTACTTGGGCCTTGGCACTACAACTGTCTAATCCAGGCCAGAGAAAAAGAGATTTCATCCCACTCTTTTCTAGATGTTTTCCTAAAAACAAACTAACTAACAAACAAAACACGTCCTTGGCTGAGGGTAAATCCAAAGGCATAGAAAACTTTGCTAAATCATAAATAGTCACTGGCTCTTTCAAAATGTAGGGTTTTGTGAATCGTAGCTTAACCCTGACCAGTTAGCTCATTTAGTTCTGGTTTAGGCAATTAATGTTTATGGAGATTCTCCATCACCTGGTCAGGGTCGTCCCAAAAGTGGTTTGTTTGTTTTTTAAGACCTTTCCCCGAAGAGCTGAAGAAGCTTCTTGGATGAGAAGCGAAAAGTCTTCCAAGAAAAAACAGGAAGTCCAGTCGCCTCTTGGGAAAAAAAAGCACATTTGGGACATTTGTGGAATTAACTATCTTCTTTTTTTTTTTTTTTTTATAAACTGCCCTCTGAAGTGTGTGGGGGCGGGGTGAGGTTGAAGGATAGAGAAAAAACAGCATTAATTCTCCCATTTCTATTTATCCCAGGTTTTATCAGGCCTCTGGTGTTGGAATAAACAGTGTCTTTTCTTTCCATTCGCAGCAAGAATCATGAACTTGGAATTTGGGGGGGGGGGGGGGAGAGATTGCTGCACACCCTGACAAACACACACACACACACACACAAACACACACACACAAAACCAATGTTCAAACTTAAAAAAAACACACGAGTGTGTCAAATAAAAATGTGCATTCTTTCCTGCAATAGCATAGCAAAATCAGAGCAATCTAGACAGCCAGGAAATGTGCAGATCTCTGGGCACCAGCTTTTGAGATAGTCCTTGACTTACAACCACGAGGGAGCCAACATTTCTGTTGCTAAGCCAGACCGTTCCTAAGTGAGTTTTGTCCCACTTTATGACCGTTTCTTGCCACTCTTGTTAAAGGGAATCACTGCAGTGGTTCAGTTAGTTGTTAAGTGAAACTGTCTTATAAACTGGCTGATTCTGCAAGAGTTGTTAAGGGTAAAAAAAACAATCATAAGTCACTTTTCTTTCAGTGCCGTTGTAACTTCCAGCGGTCACTAAATGAGCTTTTGTAAGTTAGGATTGCCTGCAGACACAAACCTATGAGCCTGACCACCTTTTAGTTCCCATTTCAGACCAAATATCCCTGATAGATAGACCAGGATTTCCTTGCTCTTTACCTTTGTAGCCACGGTTGAGAAGGTTGGGGGGAGGAAAAGGAGGTTTGTGGTGATTTTAATCTTTCCCTGAACATTTTGAAAATTCCTAAGGAATGGGAAAGTTTGTGTCTCTGGTCCCCTGTTTCAGCCCACATGGGTTTACCTGTATTCAAACCCCAGATAAAATACAAATAAGGGAGAGAGAGACAAAGTGAAATTTTAAGATCTGGAGTGTTTTCCAGACTCACTTTTTAAAACCAGAGTAGTGGGGTTTTTTTTGTTAATCCCCATCAGACAGAAACTTTGCAACCAACTTTTTTTTTTTTTTAAATGACCCATGTAGTAGGAAAGCAACCACAGCTCGCTCTTACTCCTGGGTGGAAACAGAGAGGAAAAATGGCTCACCTTTAAGATTAGAGGTACCCACTGCAGATACAGCCGGAGATGTTGACTGAGCAAAACATTTAAAGGCCGTTTGCTCGCTGGAAGATTCATCCGAAGTTTCTTTTTTCTGCCTCTCATCGTAAACTCTCATGGACTGAAGAGTCAGCTGTTTTCTAGGAAGAGAAAAGGAAAAGAGAAAACAAAAACTCTTTTCAGTTTTGGCAGGACCCAAGCATTCTTGGTTTAGCCAGCTAAAAAACAAAAAATAAATCTTTTTTGTGCTCCTAGACGGGCATATTAGCCAGGTGTGGTCCAACCTGCCACAGCTTCACACAACCACCCTAAACCATAAAGGGTGGCTTGTTTGGACCACAACAACTAGAATTGCCAGCTGCACTGAACTGAAACCAATCCGTTCCATTAAAGGTTGACCAACAATTGTGCTTCAAATTTCTTTTTCTCCGTAAATTCCAGCCTGCCATAGCTTAAACTCAAGTCAACCGAAATGTTTAGAGAAATCTTGGCCAAAGGTTGTATTTTAGAACAGGTTAAGGTGGTCTATGGTGGGGTAGTCCTCAACTTACAACAGTTCACTTAGTGACTGGTCAAAGTTACAATGGCACCGGATAAAGTTTTTTTTTTCACACTTATGACCCTGGCAGCATCAACTTAGTGGCCTAAAATTCTAGGCTCAATTGTGGTCGTTAACTCTAGGAGTACCTGTACTAAGGATAACATACATTTGAATAAACCACCTTGTTAGTTTGTTGTCACCTTGGATGAAACTCTCAAAGCAAGTTTGGACAATCAGACTTTTAAATATTTGGGGTTTATCAATCTCCTTCTGCTTTGTTATTGGCCGTTCTGGCTTCGACTGACGGAAATTGGAGCCTCAGTTATCCAGGCACCTATTTTTGTCTTCAATTGTTGAAGCTCATCAGGCAATTGTCAGACCAAATCTTTTACAGCACTCTGGATGAACTCTGTTTACGTGCTGCCTTCATCCATGCTTAATTAAACCATCTTTAATCTCATTAATCCCCCCTTTTTAATAATAATAATAATAATAATAATAATAATAATAAATAAATAAATAAATAAATAATAATAATAATAATAGCAGCATCTTAAGCCATTAATTGATTACACAGACTGAGTTCGGACAGACTAAAAATGCAGTTGACCAGTTTGTGCGGCCACGTATCTAAAAAGCTGAAACTTAAAACTAGCCAAGCAGAATGAGTTCACAACCTAAGCATTGGAAAACATAGTTTAACAGCAATCACATCTAACATTTGCAGCATCTGATTCGCTGTTTTGGGTAAACATGGTTTAAAGTTTAAGATAGCACAAAACCAGGACTGTGGATTGAATCAATCAAGGGATATGGAAATCAGGCAATTGAGGATCCAGGTTTATTTGTTTTTGTGGAGGGAGATGCAAATTTTAAGTGAGGCGGAGAAGAAGAGAAATTCCTAACCAACCGACTGTTTAAAATATCCAGGAGATATCTGTTCTCTTAATAGCTTCAAGAAAATAACTCTTGTTTAACGCTTGAATGCAAATGTTCATTCTCCACAAAAACTTGTGGTCCACAAAAACCTGGTGTTTTCTTGCTCCTCTTGTTCTCATCCTCCTTGCCAGTATTTCAATCATCCCTACCACTTTTTGAGATCCAATCTGTAAAGATAGACACACACACACACACACACACACACACACACACACACACACACACGCTGTCTAGTTCCCAATCGGTGTGAAAATACTGTGCTTACAAGACATATTTTAATAGGAATATATATATTCTTACTAAAAATATGTCTTGTAAGCACAGTATTTTCACACCAATTGGGAACTAGGCCATGAATAGAAGCTGCTAGAAGCAGATTGATGTGAGTTTCCCTCCCCCCCGCCCCCTTTCCATTTCACCACTTATCCTAAATCTTACCTGGCCAGAAGATCAATGTTAGTTGTGATTTCCTACTTCCCAGTTTTGATGGAGGTTGGAGTTATTTCTTTGAAAGAAACTCCAAACTCTTCCAACAAAATCTATTGAAAGTCGTTCAAAATCTGCTTGGCTATCTATTGTGGTTTGTCCTCCACCCTTTCTGTCTTTAACATGTCACCAATAGGAACCACGTCATAAACTATACATATACACTTGGCAGAGAGTTTCTCCTTTGAGTAGCACCAAAGGGAAAGTTGCGTATTGTCAAGCTTGACAAATTAAAAAAAACAAACCCAAACCAACAAACTTTCATCCTGCTTTTCACTTCATGTTCACACCACAATTGGATATTTTGGGGTGGGAACTGAAAAGAAAAGAAGGAAGAGTTCTATTTTCATTTTATTTTATTTTAACGGACTTTGGGGCAGCTTTTTCTGATGGTTCCCCAGCCCCCCAAAAAGGAAAATTGACGTGTATATCTTCTTCTTACCTCTTTTCTCGCCTTCCATTCCCTGTGTCTCGAAAGCCTTTGGCAAAAGGGTTGTTGTCAATTTTTAACTGGGTGATCTGGCAAAAGAAGGACAAAGAAAGACATTTGTCGCAATTGTCGGGATTTGGATTCTTAGGAAAGAAAAGATTCTTGATTTCATTTCATGTGAGAATGGTATACTTTGACTAACAACCGGTTGGTTACAATGCAGGAAAGCCAGAACTAAAATTTACACCCGAAGGTTTCCTACTTAACTTTTTCATTCTTGTTCCCCCCGCCCTTGTTATCTCTTTATTGTCCAGTTATTTCTAAGATTTGTTCTGCTAAAGGGGTCTATTTCTGTTGCATTTCTATTTGTCGTGTATTTCTACCCCTCTGTAGAACGGCAGTAAGAGTCTAGAAGGAGACTCTGCAAATACGCTGAATTTTGGAACAATTTAATAGCTTAGCAAGACAGACCAGGATTTAAACCTTGGGTGCCGACATGGGGGTGACTTTTAGGAGTACAGAATGTTTCTGAGGTTTGCCACACAAAAGATAACAGGAAAGAGAGGGGGGGAATCCATAGAGGGTGGGGAGGAAACCTCTGTTTTATTTAAACCAAACATTGCCCGCCTCTCTTAAAAAAAAAAAAAAAAGCCAGGATCCCAGAAAAAAAAGCTTGTCTGAAGAAATAGAAAAGGAGAGGTTGCAGGATCTCAGAAGTAGGCAGGCAATTTTTTGTTTTTAATTTGCTTTATAGTTCCCCGCTGCAAATTTGTGGCTATTCAGGCAAGGATTAGGGGGTCCCATAGGGGACGAAGTTCCTGTGGTCATTTCCTTACTTCAGTTGCTCAGCCTTAGCTAATTGGAGGCTGCTTGGGCTTTGCTAACTCCCCCCACTCCATGAGTGTGTGTGTGTGTGTGTGTGTGTCTGCTCACGCATACACACGTACACAAACACACACACAGACAAGTGCACTGTTAGACTCCTCTTGGAATGAATGGAACGCACAGCCCATTAGTCATGTTTTAGTCTCACGGCTTTACCTGCCTTAATTCAATTGCAAAAGTATGGCTTCCTCTCCTTGCTAAAGTAAAATATTTTACATAAAGGGGTTTGGATCTCAATTTATAACTAGTGCGTGCCTGTCTCTCTCACACATACTTAAAGAAATATCTTCTAGACAAAATATCTGAGGAGCCTTCAAATTCTCCTCCAGCTTTCCCAAACAATCTGCCCCTGCTCTGATTTTATGGGGAGTGGAAGGAAGGGTTCATTTCAAAGCTGGCTGGAAATGCTTCCCAGCTTGGGAAAATTTGCTGAATAGGTTTGGTGAAGTGAAGTAACTCTTGAATCTGAATATCAGAATAGAGGGTGGGGAGAATGACGGGCTGGTCTGATGGGAATGATAATAATAATAATAATAATAGGGAGAGGGAATAGGAGAAGAAAAAGAGGAGGAGGAGATGGAAAAAGGAGAAGGGAAAGGAGGGAAAGGAGAAGGGAGAGAAGAAAGGGAGAAGGAGGAGATTTTTTTTCATAATAAGGGAGGGGAAGGGAGAAGGGGAAGGAGGAAGAGGAGAAGGAAGAGGAGGAGAAGGAGGAGAAAGGAGAAAGGGAAGGGGAAGAAGGAAAAGGGAAAGAAGGAGAAGGAGGAGAACAAAAAGGAGAAGAAGGAAGGATCATCACTGTGTGTCACTTCAGAGCAAAATAACAATAATAATAATCTCACTATATGCCACCACTTTCCTGTTTAGATCACAGTCCTAGAAACACCGAGTTTGGTGCAAGCCCAATTCAGCTTCATTGAGTTTAGATTTAAATCAACTCTGACGGGAATTTATTTTCTTTTCCTTTCCTTTCCTTTCCTTTCCTTTCCTTTCCTTTCCTTTCCTTTCCTTTCCTTTCCTTTCCTTTCCTTTCCTTCTTTCCTTTCCTCTCCTCTCCTCTCCTCTCCTTTCCTTTCCTTTCCTTTCCTTTCCAGAGTGTGAACCAAGAACACCCAGGGTTCTTGCCACCTTCTGAAAATCAATGTCTTCATCTGCTTCAATTCGTAGACCTTTCAGACTTTTGGCTTGGCCAGAGAGCAGGAGAAAGGTCTACTGGAGAGGAGGTCTTAGGTAAATCCCGGCACCTTCAGGCAGGTGAAGACCTGTTCAATTCCACCCTTCTGCAAAGGAGCTCCAGACAAGCAACCAGGGACCAAGGCGTGAGAAGCCTATCTTGGGAGGAACTGGGTCTATTTCTTCGCTCTTCTCCCCCTTTCTTCTTACTCTATCTAAGCTTGGCTTGCGCTGGGCTCTGCTTTCACAAAGAGAAAATCTGACAAACCTCGGACTTCACAACTGCCTCTTTTCGGTCTCCCCGCAATTTCTTTGCAAACCTGCTGCCATTTTGATCCAGGAGGCAGGTTGGCTCTGAATTCCACATACCACAAGGCAGTGAAAGCAATTAAATAAGCCTTCCTTCCCTTCCCTTTCTTTCTGCCTTCCTTCCTCCCATCCTCCCTTCCTTCTTTGTTTCTCCCTTCTTCCCTTCCTCCTTCCTTCCTTCCTTTCTTCCTTCTTCCCTTCCCCCTCCCTTCCTCCCTCCCTCCCTTCCTTCCACCCATCCATCCCTCTGTTCCCTCTCTTTTCCTTTCTTCCTTCTTCCCTCCACTCTGGAACAAACTTTCTTCTTGGCAAACTTGCTAAAACTTCATAAAAGCCCATGGCAAGCTGCTAATTTACGGCGAGAGAAACCCAGTGAACAAATAAAAGCTCCAAGATCTGGCAGTTAGACATTGCATTCTTTCCCATGCCTTTCAGGCTACCTCAAGCTCTTTAAGTTCCACCTCTCCCACACATAGTCGGGGAGAAAAGAAGGGATCTCGGTAGCTCACCCGCCAAGCCACCCACCCACCAACCTATTATTCCATATCCCGTCTTTCCAAATATTGTCCAAGCCAGCTTCTTCCCTCACTGCCACCCAAAGGAAAATATCCCTCCCCCCACCACCACACATATACACACAACCAAGTAACAAAAAAAAAAAAAAGAAGTTCAAAGGAAAGGATTGAGAAGATTAATGGGAAACCAAAACTTCCTTTTGGCGCCATGGCCAAGGTTCCTTCAAGGAGGGAATTGAAAGCTTTGGGCATAGGCTGTTCCCAATCCAAGGTATGCACAGAGCAGCAAATCCAATTAACACCCTTCCTCATAATAATAACCCACTCCTCTTTAATGAGCTTGACCAAATGGCCCCTGTTCCAGCAGGATATTTAACTCCTGGTTTTCTTTGAAGCGGGTGAAGGAAGAAAAGGGGGGGAAAAAAGAGGAACCTAAGAAGGCCAGGTGCCGATACCTGTTTGGGGAAGACCTTCCGAATCCTTCCTGCTCAAACCAAAACCTTATCTGAGGCTCACACCGCAGCCGGACACCCTCCCCACGTGCACTCCCTTTCCAACCTCAGTCCCCTTCTTACCTTATCATTCTGATAGGCTGTGACGGCAATGAATTCCGTTTCCGGAAAGACATAAGTGCGGAATGTGCTGTAGGGTAGCTTCAGGATATCGTTGGCTCGGACGATGTGGAACCGAGGCTGGTATTTATGCATAGAGTTTAAGATGGTCTAAAGGGGTGGGTGGGAAATAAAGGAGAAAGAAAAGGGGTTGGGAGAACAAGATTTAATTGAGGGGAAACGGGTCGTTGCTGCACGCATTATATCTAAACAGGGCCACTCCACTTTTTTAAAAAATTAATCCACACCCTGCCTGTGTAGCTTCTTAGAACTTCCTTGCGGCTTATTTGGATGTTTTTATAAAGATTTCTACTTCCGACCGACTGCCCCCTTCCTTCGTTCCCCTACCACGATTGGTAGAGATCCAGATGTTGCCTAAAATAAGGGAAAGGATCCCCACTGTGGAGAGCTGAAGCAAAGATATGTGTGTGTCTCTATGCATGGATATATCAGTATGTAAGATAGTAGGTAGGTAAGTAGGTAGGAAGGTAGATGATAGATAGATAGATAGATAGATAGATAGATAGATAGATAGATAGACAGACAGACAGACAGACAGACAGAAAGGTAGATAAACAGACAGACAGATAGATATTCACTAAGATTGGTCTATTAACTGATTTTAAAGGGAAAACATTGCATACAATATATAAACACCTCATTTTATATTGAAACTATTATGTTTGGAGGAAGGGTGATATGAATTGACCACTGCATTTGAAAATAACTGTGAAATACATTCTTTCCATATCATAGTCAATAGAGACTTTTTCCTCTCCTCTCCTCTCCTTCCTCCTTTCCTTTCCTTTCCTTTCCTTTCCTTTCCTTTCCTTTCCTTTCCTTCTTTCCTTTCCTTTCCTTTCCTTTCCTTTCCTTTCCTTTTCCCCCACTTTAAATAGAAACCAGTTCTTCCCAATATACAAAGGCCTAGTTCTGCTTTGGAGATTTGATTCCCATTCTCCTTGTCCTATCCTCATAATCTTATTCTTCTCTCCCACCCCCCACACCAAGCCTTCCTAAGCAAGCCAAACAGACATTCTAACAGGTCATCCTAAGGCCAAAAGATAGGGCTGACCCTCCTTCCCCAACTTCCTTTTAAAACCTGGAGCTTATTACAGAAAATCTGGAGTGTACCAATTGACAGTCCATTTCCAAGCGGGAGAAAGAAAGATTTCCGACCGTTTCTAATAGAGGAAGTAAACTTTTGCCTCATTTTTCCAACAGGCCTCAATTTCTAGTCACCCTCTTTTGCAAATAGCTGATAGTACAACTACTACTACTATTACTAGTGCAGTTATAGTAGTAAAATAAGAATAATAGTAATAATAATAATAATAATAATAATAATAATAATAATAATAATAATAATAATAATAATAATAATAATAATAATAATAATAATAAT